GTGTTCAGTCTTGCCCTCCCAAGCATACCTCATAGTGGTATTTGCAAATGAAATCTAGACTATTGGTGTCCCTTACGTCAAAAGGGACATCAAAAGGGACGTCTTACATGTATACATCCAAGTCATTTGATCTAGATCTTGCCCCGATCACAACTGACTGGACATAAATACACGTGTGACGGTGCGGTACAAAGACATAAAAAAATGAGTAGTATCCCCTCTTGAGCAAAACTCATGGTTTGCTTGCGGCTTCTGTGGATCGAACACAGTGCCTTCAGATCGACGTCATTGCTGTCTTCAGTCTGACGCTCTCCCAAGTGAGCTAAAGCCGCTTACGCCTACAGTTGAAAATCTACATTATATATTTTAAGATGATACTGTCTGAGAGAGAATTATTGTGTCATGGGTCCTGCAGCTGTAAGGCGTCAAACGTATGTAGACTTAATTTGCTACAGCAGATCCTGAAACTTGGAAAGCAGATAAATTCTATCAATGCCGACATACTAGACGTTAAAGAATAAGTTTCCAGAAAACTCCTCTTACTCTACATAAAAACCTGACAAGGACCCAAAGTAGCTTAGCGAACCAAATTCGAAGCAAGCATATCGGGCTCAATTCGTATTTGCATAGAAGAAAAGTACCAGGAGTCTACGATCCATGCTGTCCGTGTGGCTACAAATCACAAAATCCCAGGCACATGATCATGTCCTGCCCTCCGTATGTTCGTCGTCTGATGAACCAGAAACGTCAAGCTCTTCTCGAGGAATGGTGGGAGGAAGCATGTCCACCAAGTTATCGAAATCTGGGTCTACTCATGCAACGACGCAAGCCACAGGAGCAGGCACTTTCTCGGCGGTTACTACGTGAACTGATCTCAGCTCCAACGGGACACGGAAACTTCGCTGCATGTCACCGTCGTTTCAACAACTTCACCGCTTCCATGGAGTGTGCGTGTGGAGAGGAAACATCACCTCTCCACTTCATTCACTGTCGACTGCACGAACGTCAGACGCGTCGACTCCGAGGGACAATGTCACATCACGACTATGTCCAAAAGCTTCTCGGGCCTAAGTGCCTTGAGGATTTTACAAATTTTGCGCAGGAAACCGGCTGCTTCGGCGACTCACCTGCAAGTCCGTCACCAGCTCTCAGCGGAGACAACATTAACTAGGTCATAGCACGAAGCATGACAGGAAGGAAAACGAGACGAGGAGTGTCGCTTTCCCACCTCAAATTGGAGTATTGGATTTGGAATTTTGGTTATGGGAGTCTGTGGGAGCATTTAAATTCTTTCTTATAACTAGCTACTGGTTGTGTAGTGGGTCACGCAGTGAGACCGAGTCGGACATGTGGGAAGCATGATCTTGGCCGTGTACACCGGTCCTTGACTCCTAGGAGATATAGAGCATAGCTTAGGACCTAAAATTTATAAAAAATAAAATAAAAAATAAAAAAAATGTCCTGCCCTCGATGGTCAAATGGAAGAGGAGAGATCTGGAGACAAGCCAAAGATCGGTCCTACGAAGCAATGATAGACAATCCTGGTGATATTAAAAGAATTACGCAATGGATTCTTAGTCATGGTTGGATAGATCAATTCCGCATGACATATGCAGTCGAAATGCTGAACAGGGAACGAGGCAGGACTGGCACAAGGTTGGAGTCGTTAGAGGGGACGTGATTGGTACATACAGACGGCAATATAGTGTAACTGTGCTTCCTGAAGGATAAATTGTAAACTTCAAAGACACAAATCAGGAAGCTGGGGAGGTTTTTACCGAGAGGTTTCCTCCTATGTAAATATATAGATAGGTTTATAGCCACCTGCATGGGCCTATAGGACGCCAAATCAGGACAATGAATACAAATCAAAAATATGTAGACTTAATTATTCAACGCCCATTGGGACGCCAAGCTGAGACCTGGGCCCCTACTGCGTATTTAGTACTAGAAATGGACACTGGTATTTATAGATATTCAACCTTAATTTCTAGATCAGAAATCTGTCTGATCAGACCATTTGACAGTACTCATCGCCCCCTCCCAGGAGTTTTAAAAGAAAAGTTCTCTTAAGAAAGATATCCTTCGGGTATCAGGTGTAGGAGTTAATGCCGATTCGTCTGTATGAGTCTGGAGCGTGCTCATTCCAGTATTGATCCATTGCAATAGCTAATTCATCTTTAGTAAGACTCATAGCAGCGTTGAAGGAAGAGGACAAATGTAGGAGGTGGTGCGACCCCACTCTACTAGCTAAGGTGTCAACCTGGTCATTTCCAGAGACATCAAAATGATTAGGCACCCGGGGGACGAAACTCAACACCTGTCAGTTATGTCCCCAACGATCCTCCAGCTCTCACTGCAGAGTTTTTGAGCCGAGATTGAGTAACACATTTTCAACTTTGAGCTGAGTCATCTCCACCCCCGTCAAAGATACGCTTCCCATAGCTCACAAGACGACCAAGATGACGATAATGATGCTGAGATTCAGGAAAGATAATGCGGTACCAAAGTTACGATGGTAGTTCGAGCCCTCGTTACATCACAACATGTGCTACCTAACGGCGAGCCAACAAAGAGCCCACGAAAGCAAAGTAAAGGACTGTTCTGCCCCCAAGAAAAGTAAGTTTCGAGTCATCAACAATATCTTTTCTTTGCATCACTACTTCCGACCATTCTATTCAGCATGGCATCTAAATTACGTGCGTCTCGATATCTTCACTTCCGCAACGACTTTTGGATGCTAGTCTAAGCTACTCACGCCAATAACTATTAATCAAGACTTTCTGACATCCTTGCACGACTTCTAGTTTGTCCCGTTACACGAGTCTGGGAAGGAGTAAGGAGCATGCTGAGAAGGTTGGGAGATGCTCATAGACATACACAGGTCTGCTGCTTTCGATATGCCGGGCTCTTTGAACACTTCAAAAGGGAGTGCATTTCTTCAGATTTAGCCCTGATTTCGGTGTTAGGAGAGCCCAACGTCCAATGATTTTTAAGACTTTTCCTTGCAGCTACATACCAGCAAACTTTTACCGATTTGTTAACTGGATGAGGGTGGCAATGATGGGATAATAGCTCCCCTTCGTTTGTACTTAGATGAAGACCTGTGAGGGTATTATTGTCGGAAATAAGTCGTGAAGGAGGCATAGATACTCCTGACCTGTAGGCCAAAAGAACCTAATTATGTGTGTGTTTGTTTATTGTACTACTTGAATCTATGACTATCTAGCACATTGGGCTCCTCTCTGACCCAGGCCACACCTTGTTCAGTGCTCCTGTCCTCTTTTGTTACTTAAAAGATCATTGATATATTCCCCTTGATGAATAGCCATTCATCTCAGTGTCTATCCGCGGAACCTTCTACCCAAAAAAACAAAAATTGTAGTAATGGAAACTGCGTGCGCGGGAAAAAGTCTCAAAAAACCTGCGGCCCCAGCCAGGCGAGGCCTAGACACCGGGACCACATGAGGTGCGCATATTCATCTATATCTCCCTTATTTGTAGCAGTCGAGGCTGGCTTGATCCAATCTGCCATCTCCGTATCGGGTGCTGGGTACGCTCCGGAAACTCATCCGATGGCTTTTCTTCCATGATCAAGAGTTGGTGGTGAGAAGGGCTCCGACCCTACCATCTGATCTGATCGTGCTTAGCTTCATGATAGTGATGATAGGGGGATTTGTTGAGGGATAAAGACGATACAGACGGCGAAAGCGATTGGGAATCCTCGCCGAAGCGAGGACTTTGTTACTTAATCTTGGCTCTGCAGACTCTACAGTGAGAGCTGGAGATTCGTAGGGGACACCGCTGACAGGTGTTGAGAATAGCCCCCTTGGAGAACCTACTTATCTTTAAATGTTCATAGACTTGATATGGCTGTAAGCCGGCAAAGTCGAAATCTTCACCTTGCAATGGTGCCGATGTAATCGCTCAGTGAGCTCCACATGTTTGGGATAGCTGAGAAGAATCGCATCCAAATCGAAGTCAAAAGCAAACACAAACACTATGTAATCCGCGACTTCTCATCAATGCCGGACCTATCATTCTTAAGCTAGTCCTCCACCTCAATCTTACCACACCACCTCGCCTCAAATACCGATAATGGCGTTACTCCAAATGCAATCGGGCATTTGTCTCATCAAAACCGGCCATCTCCCACTGCACACTTGCGATGCTATGTACACCCGCGTGGAGGAATTCAAGTCATAATCTACAAAGCTCGGGTCTTGGTCTATGGGGGACCATTGCTCTAATGGGCTTTCATATCTTGAGGGAGGACAGGCAGCTGGGACGTGGGACAAACAAGTGAAGAGGTCACAAATGAGCATGCTGGGACGCACACTTTTCGAGTACTTTCGACCTAAGGGCGTCAGCGGGCGCCGAGGTAACGATTTGAGATAGTGCTACCGACACTCTAAAAACTGGCAAGGATGGAAGATGTTTTGGTCCGCATCCTGGTCGTCATATCCCCGAATTAAAGTCTGGGTAGCCTGGACACCTACCTCACTCGAGAAAGGGAGGACTGTGAGGCCATATCTCGCGCGGCGGCTATATACAAGATGACAAAGGCATGTTAGGGTAGTCAAAGGTTTTTCCTGTTTTCCCTTTGGTGGATATTAACGGTTGAGTGAAGGGTGAAAGTCCCTAGCACCAAGGTCTCGAGTGGTATCAGCGAATGCACCCACTACATGAGTAGTCCAAATGTCAAACTGAGTTATCGTCGTGAATAGTCATCGGGGAATGAATTGCCTTCTCCTTGTCATGCTCTAGGAGTGGTAGGCTAGTGTCCGTCACAAATAAATATTCATTCATTCCATGGGACTGTAAACAGTAAATGTACAATAAAACGATAGAATGTGGCTACTAAGGTTACGATCATAGACCAAGTTTACAACTGTATCACGTGATATGACGTAGAATTTCAAAATTTTGATCTAATTACATGAGGACCAAAACAATTTCTCTTGCCGCCTAGATGAAAAATCCCCTTACACATTGCTATCATGAAGCGAAAATTAGACGTCAACAATGTGCCCTCAATCAAAAATGAGACTAAAGAGGATGTACCGATAACTTCCTTTTCTGAGTTTGGCCTCGACGCCCGAATTATGCAAGCTGTAGCCAAACAAAATTTTAAACATCCTACTTCGATTCAAGCCCACGCTATACCGACGATTCTTGACGGTAGGGACGTTTTAGCAAGAGCTAGAACTGGGTCGGGAAAGACAGCCGCATATTTACTACCTATCATTCATGCCATCCTCAAACGAAAGCAGGTGAGTTTTTGAAAAGAGCAAAAACATTTTTACTGATTATCTCAGACATCTAGTTCGAATTTTGTTTCTACTATCATACTAGTACCGACGAGGGAACTTGCTGACCAAGCTCAAAAAGTCACAGAGTCCCTATGTGTATTTTGTGCTAAGGATGTACGGGCCGTAAATTTAACTCTTAAGGTTTCTGATGCCGTTCAACAATCTCTTCTTGCTGATCTGCCCGATATCGTCATTACTACTCCAGCACGAGCTTCTATTGCGTTGACTAAATCCTATTTCTCTGCGGATAATGTAAATTGCCTGGTAATCGATGAAGCAGATCTAGTACTTTCATATGGATACGAAGAAGACTTGCAAAATATTTCCCGGCTTATGCCAAAAGGAGTTCAGACTATTCTAATGAGTGCAACCCTCACCAGTGAGGTCGAAACATTAAAAGGCCTATTCTGTCGAGAACCAGCAATTTTGAAGCTAGATGAGAAAGAAGATGACGGAAACACGCTTTCTCAATACGTTGTAAAGTTTGTTATACCGTCATTAATTCTAGTGCAAGCTAATTTATATAGATGTGCTGAAGATGATAAATTTCTACTAATTTATGTAATATTTAAACTTAAGCTAATTAAGGGAAAGTGTATTGTCTTCGTGGGAGAAATTGATCGATGCTATCGCCTCAAATTATTTCTGGAACAATTTGGAATCAAAAGCTGTATTCTCAGTTCAGAACTACCTGTTAACTCGAGAATACATGTAGTTGAAGAATTTAACAAAGGAGTTTACGACATTATAATTGCGTCAGACGAGCTTGAGGCTCTGGGAGATGAGGACGACGTTACCGATGCTCAAAATATTGAAGCTCAATCAGAACCCGCTGAAGACCTATCAGATGGACTGAAAACTCAGGATGAGCCTATTCATACACCAGCGTTTAAGAAGAGACGCAAGTTGATACAGAAAGATAAAGACTATGGCGTCTCACGAGGTATTGATTTCAAAAATGTTGCGTGTGTCCTAAACTTTGACCTCCCAACTTCATCAAGGTCGTATACTCACCGGATTGGCCGTACTGCTAGAGCTGGCCAAACTGGAATGGCGATATCGTTTGTGATACCTTCGGATCAATATCGCAAACATCCACCGATAAGTGTTAAATCTACCGAAAAAGACGAAAAGGTCCTTACCAAAATTACGAAACAACAGAATAAAAATGGCCTTGAAATAAAACCATATAACTTCGATATGGAGCAACTTGAATCCTTCAGGTACAGGCTAGGTGATGCATTGCGAGCAGTGACAACTATTGCTATTCGTGAGGCTAGAACGAGGGAAATAAGGCAGGAGTTGATTAAAAGTGAAAAATTGAAACGTCATTTTGAGGAGAACCCCGACGATTTGCATCATCTCCGTCACGACGGTGAGCTTCGTCCAGCTCGGGTACAAGCTCACATGAAAAATGTCCCCGACTATCTACTTCCTGAAGGTGGAAAGAAAGCTCTTTCCACTGGGACAACAGGTTATATCGGTCTCAGAGTGCCGTCTGAAAATAGGATACGAAAAGCTCGAATGGCCAATAGATCTCGGGGCACAAGGAAGAAATCTGGAACTCGAAAATCTGATCCCCTTAAGACCTTCAGAGCCAAAGTTAAATCATAAGCTAATATTCAGCTTTGAAATCCTTACAACCGTCTATTAGACTTTATATGATTCGCCTCATCGCATTTTGGAAGCTCAGTGATTTTTTATTAGCCAGCAAGCCACTCTCGAATTTGTTTGATATTTTGTCTATTCTTAGTCTTAGGCTGCAAAAGGCGTGCAGGTGATATCAAATAATATTTAGCGCAAATATGTGCCTCAAGCGATTACTATTAACTCATTTTCATGCTAAATTTTTGCATAATCTTATGTGTATACAGCCATATACCCATGAGAAATAATCCGTGCCATTTGAGCATGTCAAATTGATCATCCGGCATTCGGGACATTAATCATCAGGAATCTTTTCTCAACTTAAGCTCTGAGAATTGTTGTTCGAACAAAATAGCTGGTTCTCTTGAGTATCCATCTAAGGGAAGTCATACAATCTTTAATCAGTCAAGAATGCATTCATCCTATGCACGTGCATCGCTACTAATGCAGTTAGGCTTACTGAACCCTTAACGATGGTCACCTGTCTCAAGTGAGAGAGGATAATCTATTGAAGCTCAATCTCACAGTTTAACACACACAATCTAGCACTGCATCGTCAAGCCATCATCTTATTTTAAGCGTAATCTATATTCGTATAAGAATTCGTGGCGTGCCGCACGCTCTTCGATGCCAAAACTTTGACCTAAAGATCTGTACTTGATCAATTTGGAGATTTTATCTATCTCTAGCACCATCTTATCCATATTATCTCAAAACCTCCCAAAGATGTACCAAAATTTAACCTCAAAAAATTAGTGTACTGCGATTCAGATTCTCTTATTTATGCTAAAAGAGTCGCGCGATAAATCTAGCGCCCAGCTGAGGCCAGTATCTTGGTCAGTGAGAAGTGCGGTTATTAAAATGAGCATTTAAAAGAGTGTAACTGTAGTCTTGATAAAGCTTTGGTCGGAAATTAACTTTATGGGAACGAAGTAGTTGAAGTAGTTTAAATCCTGCACAATTAGACCGTAGACCAAATTTACCGCGTAAAGAGATTTCACACCCAAGTTTGTAGAGCACACCGTTAATAGAAACTCACTAGTCTTATATTTCCAGCTCTTTCACAATAACATTCAATTCGACAGTTTAAACTTCATTGTCCCCTCAGTGTAAACTTTTACACATCATTGTATCCCCTCCACCGCCGATATAATAAAGCTTATAGTGAGTGTTCAGCGGGCGGGACCCTCAATTTTCAACCAAATCTATATGTGGCTATGTCCTTCATAGTCATAGACTCAGTAGGGACTTTAATTTAATTCTATTCTATTCTATGTGTGGCTATCCAAGGACTGGTCTTTGAATTATACTCGGAGGCATAGTTATCTTTACGAAGTGTTTAGAGGAGTCGACTATACGGGCGCTAAGACCGCTATGTATCCACATAACGAGGAGGGCAAGACTGAACACCTGTCAGTGGTGCTCTCTACGAACCTCTGAGTGAAATATTCTCCCAGAGCCAAGTTCAGTCAAATTTCGCAATACCGAACAAGTTGGCACACGAGGCAATGATTCAAATAACTCCACCACGTCAAATTTTCATTCCAAAAAAGATCGAATCCTACCTAAGCCTCATCAAGTTTACAAGTACGAGCTAGTACATCCTCATTCCAATGACCACACCTCTCGCCGACCTTCTCTGGCCTCAGCCGGTCACCAAATACACGCCCACGCCGATATTAACACCCGACGGAGGAAGCGAAGCGTGGCGCACAAATCTGGGAGACTGTTCTTTGGGATGGACGTGAGAGGATTCAGGACAAGTTCACAAGATGATGCGAAGGATGGATACAGTCTCGACGGGCATGGAATTTTGAAATTTGGAAAGGAGTTTTTACAAATTGGGCTTTGTGCGTGCCAAGCCTTCGGTTGCGAGAGTGCAGGCAACACAATAAAGATCGCCATGGTTTGATGGTGCGGTGGTACATCGTCTTGGCCGGTCTGCCAAGTAGAGTCTGGATAGCTTGGACACATATCCCACTTGAGACAGTAGATCGCTGGTTCAAATCCGGCAAAACACAACCACATTTTTCTGGGGCTGGTATGCACGGATGACGAAGGCATGCTTGGATAACCAAAGGTTTCGAAATTCCCTTTGGTGGGTACTAACGGAGGAGGGTCGACTGTTTGTGTAGGCAAGCATACCTCATAGTGGTATTTGCGAATGAAATTCAGAGTATGAGTGTCTCTAACGTCAAAAGAGTCATCCAACGTGTATACATAGCACCGGTCATGTGTCATAGCTTTGTAGCTGAATACACATTAAATGATAAAAAAAACAAAATAAAAATCCACATAACACTGTGCGAACGTTTTCGATGTGGCTTGCGGTAAACTAGGGACTAAAAGCACGCCTGTAATTAGTATCACAGAATGCCTGGTAATGTTTCTTTTTTTTTTTACTTTTGGTCCTAAGCTAAAGATCTTTATCCACATTGGGTCAAGGACCGGCGGATCCGGCAGGGTTCCCTATAACTTTTCCTACAGCCTAACTCGTTCCAACCTCGTGAATCGCTACCAAAAGTGCAGCTGATTAAACAGAAACGAAAAATCAAGAAAATCAAAACAACTCCGAAAACCAGAAGATTCCTCCATGTTGGACCCAGCCAATGCTCTCCTCACACATTCCGTCGTCCGTCACACCTTCCAAATGACAAATTTACTCATTCTCCGCTGAGAGCAAGAGATAAGTTAGCAGGTACCTTTTATCCAGCCGGTATCCTGCTATTGGTTAGTAGATGCCCCAATGGGGACATCGTCGAGGTTGCTGTGTCCTCAAACTTCTTCTTCTTCTTCAGCTTCCAGAGCTCCGAAACCTGTAGCCTTGGCCATTGAGACGTCCTTCGCAGCGGCGATGATCGCCTCTTCGGCCTTTTTTGCTGCTGCTCGTGCTCGTGCCACCTTTGAGAACTCCCGTTGTTCTATGTGGCGGATACACGCGAGCTGCTCTTTGGTCACCGGTCCCCCACAGTTACGACACTTAGTGAGGGCCTTGCACTCTGATTCTGAGTGCATATTAGATCCGCATTTCCAGCAAGCTGGAGCGCGGTAGCAACCACGGGTGGCGTGGAAGCCCAAACAGCGTTTGCACTGTTCAATTTGTGGTCGTGGCTTGTGAATAGTAGCCATACCAGACTCTTCGAGAATGCGGAAACCCGGGCGAGGGGCGTTGATCCGGTCTGAAAGGGCTTTCCAATTTCTGCACGGCGCTCCAGGACGGCATGTCCCATGCGGTAGCACCTTGTATGGAAGCCTTTGTGTTTTTCGGTAGATCTCCAATGAAATCCAATCCGCATTGACCGTATAAGTACAGTCGATTGTTTTTATGGTCGCCGGAACATTCGCGATCCGAAAGGCGACAAAGTTGGAGGCTTCCACGAGCTTGGCGCCGAAGTCCGAAAACTTTGGTGCGGCATCTAGGAGCTCTTCCTTTTTATTTTCATTCCCTGTCAGAATCGCAAAGCCGGTTCTAACACGGTATATGGAGCAGGCGTCACTCAAGAAGCAATTTAGCTCACTCTGTAGTTGTTGCCGTAGACAAGTAGGCGTAAGCTGGCACCACGGGTGCTCCTTTTCTAGGCGAAGGAATAGTCGTTTGTCGACTATTGCCTTCGGGGCATCTTTCTTTGGGGCCTTTGCCGCAGGTTTCGGCACAGCCTTTACAGTTGGGACTGCTTTCTGTCGCAGTCCGTGTCTGGCCACCGTGGCCCAGGTGCTTTTGACGGGCGGAGCTGGGACGGTGGGTATTGTTTGGCTCCTGGCGTCGAGAGCCCTTGGGGTTGGGTTCGTCGAGCGAGGAGGGAGGACGAGTGGCGTAGTGGCCATGTATTGCGCAATGGCGGCGCGTAGGTAGACTCTCATCAAGTCTACGAATTGTCTGTTTAACCTGTTGGTCAAAGGAAGAAGGGTGGCTTCGACGCCAGAGATGGCGGCAGAGCAGAGAGCCAGATTTGCCGCTATTTCGGCGGCGCGTCGTTGTTCAGCTTCGACTATTGGTCGGAGCTCAGGAGGGCATTCTGCTTTCGACGCAGCTTTTGGCTGCGACGTTGATTTTGGCGCTGATATAGGTGCAGCGTTTTCCGACGGTTTTGATGCGGTCGGAGGAGATTTTGACGATTCTCCAATCCCGTGGGGGACGGAGGGTGGTTGAGGAATTTCCTCAACAGTTTCAACTGACCCGATCATGTCAGAATCGGGTTCAGCGACGGCGGGGAGGGCTTTTTCCTTCCCTTTGATTGAGACCTTGCTCATCTCCACGCATTTCGGAGACTGGACAAGGCCAGGTAATTGTTCGAGAGCCCTCGGGTGGGCTCTCGTGTTGTCCAACTTGGCGTTGGGACGCCTTTTGTGAACTGAAGGCATGGTGAAAATGCCTGAGCTCGATCACAATTCAGAGATGGATGCGACGAGGTCAAGAAGGGAGGAAAAAATGAATTTTCGAATTTCTCGAAATTTTTTTTATACTTTTGGTCCTAAGCTAAAGCTATCTTTTCCACATTGGGTCAAGGACCGATGGAGCCGGCAAGGATCACTGCGTACAGGCCCAACTCATTCCAACCGCATGAACTTCTACTGAAATTGTAGAAGTTAACAGCAAAACTAAAATCAAAAACATAAATCAAAAACTGAAATCAATTTGGAAGAAATACTGTTAAGTCCAGATCCCGCGCTTCTCGCCCGTTCCCTTTCCTGCCACATCTTCCAGGTGACTTTTTCTTATCTCCACTGAGACAAAAGATACGTTTGCAGATACCCTGAATTCAGCTGGTATCCTGCTATATATATTGAAGCTTTTTGTAGACTTCACCGAGGGTTGCCGTACCCTCAAACTTCTTCTTCGGATCCCAGGATTCCGAAACCGGATCCCTCGGCCATCGAGACATCCTTCGTTGAGGCCATTGTTGCCTCTTCGGCCCTTTTGGCTGCAGCCCTAAATCGAGCCACTTTCGCGAACTCCCCTTGCTGGA